GTACTTTTAACAAAAACTTACTGATAGTTTTAAGAAAATTGGAATGCAAATACAATGTTTTTGCAAAAATGAATTCATTCTGGTAAGACGTTTATGAATTTACGTCTTGCTTACTAGTTGACGACAGTTAGGGGAGGCTTCAGTCCCCCCCACCCCCTTTGTACTTCACTGAACAAATTATATTATGAACGACGTAAAGGAGCTGATTAGTACGTATCTATGGAGTTGTAGATCGCCGTTGGGTGACGTCATAGATTCCATACTTGCAGTAATAAACACTATAAAATAATATATAGCACAGGATATTGCGTCATTCAAATATTTTCGTGACGAGCTTTGATATTGTTCAATGACGTAAACGATAAATTGTTGTACGAACTATTCGTAAACATTTTCCGGAAATTTATACTCAAAACTTTTATGGTTTTACGCGAGCGATCAGATGAAGCGATGAAAACATTTTTAATGCGATTTAACGGCGGATTATTGCGTATTATTATTTCTCCGATAAAGTTTGTTTTGATGTACATAAAAGGTTAATTAAATATATGCTCATAATAACGCATATGTGCACGCATTTAATAATAGTTTCTACACGTTTGATTAAATTTTCGTTCATTATTACTACATTTTTACACTTATCCAATATCGTTAAAATGAAACTAAAATATTTATTTAGTAATGATATCATTTTCACTGGTCATATAATATACCAGTGTAGATTATTATGTGTGTGTACACTATCTGTTAACGGCATGTTTGGAACCATTAAAAAAGGTTAGGCGGATATCGTTTGGAGGCGACTTTATTAACCAAACCCTATCCACATGTATACTATTAAATCATAGTCTTTAAGCACATTCGACACTACACACCTCCCACCACCCCGTGTACGAGGTTAAGAGTATACCAATAGGTAGGAATATAATACGATATTGGATCACGAATTTATGGGTCGATGTAGTTGCGACGATGATAATGATATAACGTAATACTGTTGCGACGACTCCAAAAATGTCAATACATTCGTTAAGTCACTTATATTATTTAAAACTCGTGAATAGTATTTATGACATTTCGCACAGATATACTACCAGTATCGTGGCAAATCCACTGCAGTGTTAAAATCAATCGAATTTTCGTAAAATAAACATTTAAACTTTGATAATGATCGCTGCTAGGTTGGGTTTATCGGAATACATTGGACGTTGTTCAAGCTGACAGTGTACCTACACGAATTGCCTTTCAAATCTATGTGGGTAAGCTTTTGAAAGGAATAAAAACTCGGGGGTTGTCAGGATCAATAATATACGCAAATCAATGGTATCACCCGCTTCATTAACACGTTAAATACGATAACGGCTTTTAACGTATAAAGAGGAACGAACAACTGCTTTTGAGTAAAGTAGAACTATATATACAAACGGCAGTTGGGTCCCGGAGGGGTACGACAGTCGCGACAAAAAAAAACACGAGAACGGAAACGATTACGATTACGGAGGCAGTGGTCACATTGGAAAAGCTAACACTTTCTTTACTCAAATGGCCTCTGGGCGTTTTCGGAGGCAATGTAAATTAAAAATATCGATATATTGATTTATTTATTTTTGTAGATACGATCGACTATTATTTTTTTGATCGTCGTTATTTGTTTGAAAAATTAATATTTTTATTTTCGTATGACGTCAATAAATTATCTTTTAAAATTATTTTTTGAATTACTATCGGTTTTATTTATAAATAAATTGAAACAAATTTTCATTGTTTTTCATAAATTTCCCAACGGAAGACTATCAGTTACGGCTAACGGATACAGGAAAATTAAAAAAAAAAAAAAACAATGTAGGTACTCACAAAACCAGATTAGTTACGTACGTATTCAGTTTATTCGGATCTCCAATAGGATTCCCCTTTATACTACACACAGTAGTATAAAGTAATAAGTTAAAAAAAAAAATAACATTGACATTTTTGTTTGACCATCTATGCATACAAAAACATTTTATTCCTGGTTGATATTATCTATATAAGAGAGCACCAAATCATTATATTCTTAGTCCACCAAATATGTATTCATAGTACCTAATTATACACTATATAGCCATATAGGTATACACTTATCAATCAGCAAATTTCTCATCATCAAACCTGAGTGCGATTCAGGTATTATGTAACCGCAATATGTCAACCTTTCACATCGAAACACATCGAGTTGAATTATTAATACTGTACACACGTTAATGGTATGAAAAAATAAGTGATCTACGGGTTTTGAAACATGTCGAGTTCCGTTGGAAATTAAATTGTGCCTTCAGAGTTGGAAACTCGACGATCGTAATATTATTCGATTTTCATAGTTTTAAAATACGATTACACGTGAATACGTGATCAACAAATCGAATAGCGTTAAGAGTTTTTAAAGAGAATGTTTTCGTTTCAGTAAAGGTTTGTGCAGTATTTCAGTTTTATTTTTATAGTATAATATTATAGTATATTTTTAATACCGGAACAAGAACGCTGCTCGTGTATTACCTACTCTTAAACGTCAACAATTATATGGTTGAATGCATGTCAAAGAATAGCCTAACACTGTAAATTATAGAAATTATTTGCATGTCCTAATCAATTTTTTCTGTAGGAAAGTTTGCCCGTGATAAATACTGCAAGGTCACCGACAAAAGTCAACATTTACGTAATTTTAGTTTCCATTATAAGAACAAATAAAACCTGGTTTTTTAAATATTTAATTTCGTATATTTATGGTGGCATACCTACTACCTGTACTACATATATTCGTTGTTTGTGATCGAAAAAAATCGGTTGTGTCTCCTCGAGCACACAAGCTTTTTTTGATGATGATTTAGAGCCGTTACCGAAAAGGATCGACACACGTGTTCGTTTCAATCGGACATGTTTGTTTAAACCACTGATTGCGCAGGTGGGAAATAAATTCATGACTAATGTTTTTCGTTTATCGTTCGTCAATAATTTGAGAGATCAATTTATTATTTAACAGTAAATACCGAAATCAAACCGAAGTACGTGTATTTATTTAGGTAGGCACCCTAGGGTGATATTTTATATTATGCACGTTTAAAGTGCAACGAGAAGGACAAACGGTTTTTTCGAATATTCAAGTTAAATTCTTCATTTCGATCATTCAAAATTATTATTTTGATGATTGTCTAGTACAAAACGAGTTAAGTCAATGTTTACGAAAGTGTTGTACTAAAACATAATAATAGTATCAATAGTTACACATTGTAACGTACAAATCTTTAGATCAATATGTGAAGCATTTGAAAAAAAAAAGTCATGATAAAAGAAAACTATTGACAGTAATACTTAAAATCAAATTCTTTATTTCGTCATACCTATTCTTACGAGAGTAGTTAAGAGTGTCAAATGTAAATAAAATGTATTTTACACTAGAAAATTAACACTTATAAACCTACAAGTAAAATGATGTAGGTTTGTCTCATAATTATTGTGTCCATTGTCTATACTTATACATATATCTTAAATTTATAAAAATGTTAGAACCAATTATACTCAAGTACAATGTTTTTAATTTATTGAGTATTGATGTACCAAAAATGTAGGTTATTAATATGTTACTGGGTAGTGGCTAATAATAATAATTAGTATATGAATATTCAATTTATATTCAATTTATTCTTTGAGTACACCAATTATTGTACATTTTGTTAGTTTCATTTTGTCAATATTAATTCCAATTTTCTGGTGTTGAAATAATATAATTTTATTTGTTGTTGAATTATGTATTAATATATTGGTATCCAACTAAATGAATCGAAAGGACAGCAGGGTGGACAGAAACAATGTTATAAATTATTTTAACAACCTATAATAAAATCTAATTTGTCAACATTCTTTTTGTGACACTTTTGTCTTTAGGACCTCCCAAAATAATTAGTTATACTTTATAATATGTAGGTACTAATGTAAGGATTTCATTAGTGTTCAGTTTTAAAATATTAAAGCGATTACCAATGCCAACCTATTGCTAATATGTATTTATTAATTATTAAAACCAAATTAGAATTACAATTTAAAAAAAAACTTTCGTTTACGAATTATTTTTCCTTGACAACCGACATTATAAGTGTATAACACATGAACTAATAAATGACCCGAACAAATTCAAATGTTCTAAAAATGCATAGAAATTGGGTTAAACTTTCAGTTTTCCGTTTATGTATTGAAAATAGTGTGCAGTAATGGTTTTCTCTCAAATAAACAAATAATAATAATAAAACTAACAGGTAGGGGTGAACCACTTGGATACACCTCATGGAAAAGCAAGCAAATTGTGTTGAAATATATTCGGTGTTTTAATTCAGAGGCTAAATATTTCCCATTTCGAATTAGGAGTGGTTAACTAGGAGCCCATTAAGAAATAAAATTTCGATAGATAATAATTAATTTCACTTTTATATAAGTTGTTATATAATACTTATATTTTTATTTAATTTTTATATTGCACAGTTTACGCATTACAATATTACACTCAATACCATAATTATGTTGCAAATATAATACTCTCACATGGGATTTAAATCGGTATGATTTTATGTGTGTAATGGTATGTGACATCCGATATCATGACCTTTATACAATAACGCTCCATAATAGTAATAATAAATTTACAAAATATTATTATAATTTTATTTTATGTAGGTTTCAACTATAAGTAGATATTATTATATAAATCGAATTAATTTTCCTAATAAAAATATTATACACGTGCTTTATTAAATTGCGTTGTAGGTACATGTTACTGATTATACACGTGCCCGCGAAAATACATAAAAAAAAAAATACCTTTATTATAGTGTAATTTAAATATTTCGAATTCGGTGAAGATTTCGGCACTGAAATAATTCAAAATTAAAATAACTCTACGCGGAATATTTCTGCCACGTTCATAACTTAACATAATATTATAATTTATTGTACCTATATCTGTTGCGGCGGATTTACCGATGGACGTTTCGATCCGATGTTTTAAGTCCGGCGGATTTGAACACCGCCCGGGCCCACCTGTCTATCCGCCCAAAGTCGATCCCCCGAACCGATAATGACGTGACACTTGCGACCCGCATCCGATTTCGACAGGCCACAGTGATTGCGTCAATATTGGCATTGGTGTTATTGACGCGACGGTGTTGTTGATGCACGCGCCGTACGCCCGTCATCTCTCGCGGGTATAAAACGGGCGCGTGCATACGCTCCGGGACATTATACATGTCCGGTGTCTCAAGGTCGTCGGGCACATCACCTGTATTGTTCAGTGCGCACATCGCATACTTATGTCCCCGTAAAATATAAGGCGTGCATACACGAAGCCTGTACCGTGCAACCGTGGTGGACGGAAGTGATATGGACCGACACGTGAGCGTCACCGATATCCGGAAGTGGACGCTGGTCGCCGCGGCCCTGGTAAGTTCTGCGACTTACTACACGCCACACACACGCACACGTATAATATATAATTTACATTAACCGTAACGAGTATTTGTTTGTCTGGGCTCGTTTGTGTGTGGCCGTTTGCCGCTGCTAGCAAATCTGTTTGTTTTGTTTGTTTGGAGCCTTATATTGTTGGCCGTCTTACACCCGCGTTCTTAAAAGTCTAGACGAGTTAAGAGTGTGAACCCCTCCAAATCCTTCCACTAACATAAATGGGTAAAATACCAAATGAAAATGTGTATTAAAAATCATAATATTATGATTATTTATGAATATAAAATTAAAATTATGTAGAAACTTGTCGTCATATAAGATATGGAAGAATATTTTAAAAGTAATATATTATATTACTTAAAAAATTAAACACACCTCTACTTTAGGACATACATAGCATAGGTAGTATTTGTCGAAAAACATTTTTAAACTTTACTAGTATCCTTTAAATAATCATAAATATTCAATCAGGACCGCATTTGGGAAATTATTTGTAATGTTTCCGGAATATTTTGGAAACTTATGCGAGTTAATAGTAAAGTTGTAGGTAAACTGAGTAACGTTCCGAAAACGGATAGCCTCTGTCACAGTATTAACCTTTATCTGAGATCCTCAGATAAACAAATATTATATAATTTTTTTTTATTCGAGATTCAATTTACATAAACGGTAAAAACGAATGAGGTCAGAACCTTGAAAAAAATTAACAAAATATAATTAAATAAATATTTCGTGAGGTAGGTACCACACTGTGTCAAGTATATTCTAGTCGCAAAGGTACCCAAACTTTTTATGGTACTACCCATTATGGATAATTTTTCAACTGTGGTGACCCACAACATACTGACGATGGTTTTTTTGTTGTTCCATTGATGATCGCTAGGTTTGAGATAACGTTTAGTATGGCCGCATTTTGGTGACATGTCACTGGTCCTCGCGGATACTGATAAAACAATTCAATAATAAGATGGGAACTAAACTGTATTCATACCAAAGTCATAAATGTACATTTATCTGCACCATAGAGTTACACGGAAAACACTGTATACTCGTATTTTATACACAAAATATATATTATCTTTTTTATATACATTATATTTTATAGTAATCTAATATTGAATATAATTATATTGTGCTATACCTATAAATAAATGTATATTTCAAAGGTTTCCACGGAGCACACCAAACATATTATTATATAATTGCGACCCGTAGTTTTGAGAATCTCTGTGGGCATTTATAATAAATCCGCAGACGACCATCGGTCATTCGAGCACGCGTGTCCTGTCTATAAATTATATTATTATATAAATAATACTACGTGCGTGGCGTGTGAAAAAAATTAAATAATTATAAAATGGCTTGTTTAATGGAAAAACATAATTAAAGGCTCATGAATTATTCCCACACGTCACGCACAGTGTCGGAGACCGGCCGCCTGCACTCGACGCGGTCCCAGAGGAATCGAAAATGTCTATGTGCCACGCCGCCGGTCGTGTTCCACAATATTATTATGTTTAACACTGAATATAATGATCGGGTTGTAAACAATACGATTCTGTGATGGAGGTATCGGTGCGGATAAGGTCCGATAGCGTCTTCGTAGCCCGTGTCATTCGGTAGTAATATAAAATATATTTTATACATAGGTATAGGAACGATTTAGAACAACTGAAAAATCTTTCGGAACGGACAAAGGCGCCACATGACAATGCATTTCACGCGAACAACGAAATATCATTGAACGCGTATAATAATATTCCATACTCACAACGATATTAGATTATTATTTTTCCATTAGCACAGTTGTACTTAACCCTGCCCCTTACACCCTGTTAAAAAACAAAACACGGTTTAAACTCTTCCCTCTTTCCCAGTCGTATCACATAAATAATGGCTCAAAGATATTGTCGACTATTAATATTAAGCCGGTATACTTTCGACTGTTTACTTTTTTCTCTCTTTACCTATCCTCCGACAGTTAAACAGTAAATAGCATAGACAAAAATGGTTTTGAGAATAGTGTTTGTTACAGAATTACCCACTTAATTTTCGTTCTATACTTTTATATTTTCTAAGATAATATGTGATTGTTAAAATATGTTGCATAAACTTTCATTGAGATTCAGGACATCTTAAACCTAAAACCTACATATATAATATGCCTATTTATTTTCTATGACCATCAATAGCCATTATATTATAATAGTACAATAGTTTCCGATTTGCTTTTTTTGGGTTTTAAGAGGAGCGACGGATTTGTGGCTTTACAATGATGTGTGATTTTTAAAACGATTTTTGTTTTTTTTTTGTAATTATTCAAAATATATAAACCGTAGAAACTTGAAACATTTCACTTTGGCTTTATTCATCATTTTATATATTTTTTTTATTTATTCTTCAAGAAGATAGTGGGATCCACTGAACATATACACAATAGGTACACAATTATATTTTCAAAATGTTTAAACTAACTTTAAGCTATAATATATAGGCATTAGACATTTTTGGATTGTTTTAGTTTTTATAAGACGTGTTGATAAACATTAATTGTACGTAAAGTAAAAATTATTGAAAATATATTACAAAATGCCACAATAGTTGTTTGTATAACTATTCAAAAATAGTAAATACTGAAAATAAATAGGCTCAAAATTGTTTTATACGCATTTGGAATCAAAATGTTGTCGAAAGAAATCATGAAATTCAAAAATTGTTTTCTAGTTAAATATGTGTAACATTTTTGTCGACATTTGATATCAAAGAAAAAATAACGATTTAAATTATTTTTTGTAATTTAATAAACCTTATTTGTAGGATTGAAACTTTTCACGCTCACTTTTAATATTATTTGCAATACACAACCCAATATTCAAAGTACCTATTTACATTAATATTTTAAGCTATTTATACTACAAACTTATTCACACCCTTCTACGGTTCATTTGTACTACCTATTATAATTTAATAACAATATAACACTATAAAATATTAGATATGTGAAATAATATTAAAATAATAATAATAATAAGCATATTTTTAAATTAGATACAGGTTATAAGTGAAATAAAATAACATAGTTTTCAGTAATTCAGAATTTTTGACTAACACGTTTTTATTCTTTTTTCAGGCTTTTAAGACCATATTACAAATCCTCTTCCACTCATCTTTATTCTTTTCTGCCTGCTACCAGTTCCGGTCTCTATAGTTTTCTCTTCTGGCATTTTTTTTTTTTTTGAAACCACCATAACCTTGACCTGCCCAGAGGATTTTTTTCCATTGGGTTTGTCTTGAATAGTATCTTAAATGTTGTATCTAGCAGCGCTATTCCTCTATATTTATTGCAGAGTTTCTTTTCCCCATTTTTTATGAATCAGGCTTATATATAAATGGCATTCCCCAAACCATCTGTAAAGTTTCTCTTTCAAATTCTTCTATTATTAATATTCGTAGATACTCCTATCATGGAGCTATCTGCACTCTTTATTAATACTTCCCTTTAAATGTCGTCTTCTCCTGGTCACTTGTTGTTTTCGAATTTGTTTTTAATTTGTTGTAAGATTTTCTCTTTTGATGGGGCTGGGCAGATATTGTCATTGGGTTCGTACTTCGTTGTGCCAATATGTAAATACATCTACTTGTTTTTCAGAATTAAGTAGTTTTTAAAAATACTCTGCTTACTTCTCCATTTTTTTACTTGGGTCATCAATAGGTTTCCATCATAATATTTCAGAAATTTTTCTTGCCTTCTGTATTGCCTCTAAGGCCATTCACTTTGTGGTATAGCTGTCACGTCTTGTGCGACGTGTTGTTAGGTTGTACTGCTTCTTTTATAATAGAATAATATACTTTCTCTTTTCGCTTCTTATATTGTTATAAGTTTTTCTTTTAATCTATAGATTCTTTCTTTTAATAATTTTCATCATCATTTAGCCATATTTTTCTCGCTATTTTTCTTTTAGCAAGTGCTACTTAAGATATTAGGTATGTTTAATCATGTCTTATTCACTCTACGGGTTTTTCTTAACCCTTTCTCTGACACCTTTCCAAGGGTATCTTTAATTATTTTTTATTGCTCATAAATTATTTAAGATTCTGAGTGGAACGATTAATGTATTGATTTTACAATGATGTGTGTTTTTTTTTTATTTTTTATTTTTTGTGTCTGTGTACACGATAAGTGGTCGAAATAATGCTTCGATTTTTAACTTCAGTATCTTGTTCGATGGGAAAGTGAATCTAGTTGGTGCATTCGGGAGGTCAAATTTTAAAATTCCCAATAGTTTTCACAAGCACCAGAATTAAACACATACAAATTAAGGAATAACGGGAATTTTTACGCAAAATCTGTTTTCCAAAAAATTGATTTTGGTTTTTGGCGTAACTCTAAAACAAATTTACGTATATACATAACATTTTCACTGGTTGTTTATATTTGCATTTTCTATACACGATACAATTTTTAAAATATTATGATTTGTTTTGAACTGTTTAGGGACATTTTCTTTTTCCATTTTTTTTTAGTTTTTATTCTAAAAATATTAATAAAATTTTATTTGTTGGTTTCGAAAGCTTGAAAATTTAATAGGAAGCTCCTAGTATATTGTTTCAAAGGCAGATAAAAAATATTAAAAATCGTTAGTAACAATCTTTTTTTATAAGTATTTAAAGTTCAAAAATTGACAAAATATGGAAAAATCAAAGCAAATTATTTTGAGTTAAGAATTCGTAAAAATTTTTCTTTTTAAATCTGAGATTTGAAAATGTAATACAAGATTACTCATAAGTTTGTCTACCTTTGTCAAAACAAAAATCTCTACCGGAAAGTCAAATTAAATTT